TCTTAATGTTTTCTGTCAGAAACAGTAACGACCAAAGAGACCACGGCTGACATAACTTCATTATTCTCTGAAGATGCAGTTCAGCGTCGTCAGTTGTTACATTTAATATATAATTTCAATAACAAAGTGATAAAGGAACTGGTCGCACCACAAACCCGGTAATGTGTATAATAAATGTATTAAAAATCCAATGTTTATTTTTTTAAAGCTGCAGTGTCCATATTCAGAGTCTTCACACTGCTTTTTCCAGTCAGTGTCCCTCCCCAAAGCCACAGACTCTAGAGCGGTGTTTTCCAACCCAGTTCCTGGGGACTCCCAGACGGTCCACGTTTTTGCTCCTGCTGGGAACTGGGAGGGAGCAAAAACATGGACTGTCTGGGGGTCCCTGGGGACTGGGTGGGGAAACACTGCTCTAGATCTTTCTGGAGGTTTCCCAAATGTCGTTAAGCCAACTGGGAGATCCAGTGTTCCTCCAGTGTGTCCTGGGTCTACCCCCTAGCTTCTGCCCAATGGGAGAGCTCCTGTGGGAGGTGACCAACTGGCATACTTATTCAATGCCTGAACGACCCCAGCAGACTCCTCTCAGTCCGAGAGAGCAGCAGCTCAATTTTGAATCCCTCCGGATATTCAAATTCCTCACTCTGTCACGTCCAGTGAGCCTGGCTACCCTGTAAGAAAACCTCAGTTTAGTTGCTTGTACTTGCGACATTGCATTTTTGCTCATGACCCATATCTTTGCAAACTGCAAACTTTATCCAGCAATTTCATGAACGTGGATCCACTCGATGTCCTGAGTGCTGCAGCCGCCAGACCGATCCATCTGTCAGTCTTGCATTTCCTCCTGTCGCCATGAGATCCCTCCTTCTTTAGTGCTTTAGCTCTTTTACTCTCTCACATCACATGAAAGGAGCAGCCCATTCTTTAACAAGGGAGCACCATAGCCGGGAATTGGGGGAGCTGATTCTCATCCCTGCTGCTCCACATTTGGCATAATACTGCCCCAGTAGTGCTACCTATGGCTTCTCCCTTCAAAGTCTCTCTGAAGTATTCCCACAATAACAGCTTTTGCCTCCACAACTGCCATCTCTGTAGCCCCGAAGGCCTCTTTCTTCAGCTCGACAGCTTTCCTCACCATTGGTGTCCACCAGCAGGTCCTGGGTTCACCGCCGCGACACACACAACTGCCTTCTGGCCGAATCTCGTTACAGCTGCTGCGATGATTAACGCTTTGAAAATGGTCCATTCAGACGCAATGTCCCCGGCCTCACTCAGCATGTGGGAGAAGTTTTTCCAGAGGTGTGAGTTGAATTCGTCTTGCACAGAAACTTCATCCAGGCATTTCCCTGCGAAAACTCACTGCTCGCTTGAGTCGTGCTGCCCATCTGGCTTCCTCCCTTCAGGCATCTGCAGCTCAGACCCGAGTGACGATCAGCTGAAAGCTCATCCCTTCTCTTTACGTCAAGTCAGATGATGCAACAGAGTTGCTCATTGTCTTTTTGCGTAGGCTGCACTGGAATCAGGCACACTTATGATTCTCCTTAGTTTTTTCTTTTTATGGAGAGTCCACAGAAGTCTAATAATAATCCATGAGTTGGATTTAAATCTTAGATTTTTCAGAATCGTGCCCCTCCGGTTGTCTCAATCTTTTCAGATGTCTGCATTGAGATCCCTCTGTAGTTCCACAGGGAATCTATAGGGGGCGCCCACTTTCACCAAGAAGGCTAGAGACTCCGAACAGTCAGATTTTTCCACTGTGCGACAGACAGCCATAAGGAGACAACCTTTTCGTTCATTGGGAAGATCTCATAAGTAGGAGAGACTTCATCCCCGATCAACAGGTTTGGTTTGATATCTTTATGAACTCCTAAGGCAGGCCAGGCCAACCGTGTCACCCTCAGAATAAGTCATTACAAACATCAGCACAAAACAAACATCCAAATGTACAGAGAGCTAATTCCTGGTTGAAGCCAAAATATGGTTCTGATGGGATCTCCTGTGTTCCTCCATGTGACCTCTGAACGGGGCAAACAAAACACTCAGGCACACGACACTGGCGCAGATGAGCTGAATGCCGACATTATCGTAGAAGTAGTAAGATTTTCCTGGGTCATGGTTCCTGAAAGCCTACTGAGGTGCTGCTGATGACCAGCAGAGATTTACCCTGCTGCTGCAGTGCAGTCAGAAGATCTTACCAACCTTTTGTATGTGTTTTCCCCAAGTTGGGATCATAGTGGTCAGTTGTTGTGCACTTGCTCTCTCTGAAATACGCCTCTGCAGCGAGCCCAGTGCTTGCTTAGTCCTCTGCTTTGATAGCTATGAGTCAGTGCACCAGGCGGCTGTGGGTTTAGAACCCACCTAAAGCTCTATAGCTATTATTCTTTTCATAAATGTTGCTTTTTCTCCCCTAGACCCGCCATCCTTGAGTTCTGCTTTAAAGGTTCTTTTAAAGTTTAAAGAATTCATTTTATTCATGTTTGCAATTCCGGGTTTGGGAATTCCACAGCTCCCCCCGCTCCCGTCCTACCCTCCGGGCACTGGGTGCCTCCCTTCCCACCAGCCTGCCGTCCGTGCCGTGTGACAGAGAGCGATGCTTTGCCCTTCTGCCACCTGGCACCTGGCCGCGCACGGCGTTCAGACATGCGCGCCCCCAACGTCACCCCTGAGGAGCTCAGCCCGCTAATCCGCCATCGATGGCGGCATCGGCGCCATTCTGAAGATAAAAGCCGCCGATTGGTGACTCCTACCTGTGAGGGGAATCCCCTTTTCACCGGGAACTCCGCTTTGCTGTGCGACATATCGGTTCAGTTCTCCCTGAAAGGTCCTGGTGTTCATGCGATAAAAAAATGCACCCTTTAAAATGAGGTAGCGATGAAATCGGAAGAGCTTGTTCCATTGGTCCCCACAGTGTTCTGTTTCCCTGACCTGACCCCCCCCCCACACACACACACATCGTATTTGTGGGGACTCTCCATTCATTTCTATGAGGCAAACTCAAATCACAATATGACAACCTTAACCCCTACCCAGCCCTAACCTTAACCATAAGTAACCAAATATAATACGAGATTTTTGGCATATTTAGTTTTTTGATTGCATTCACTGATCTTTGTGGGACCTGAAAAATGGTCCCCACAACTTCAAAATAACAGGTTTTTATCACATTGTGGGGGGCATTTGGTAAAATAAACCTAATCCACACACACACACACTCAGGGATGACAGGTGACTCTCTGACTCCTGCTGTTTTATTGCTCTTTCCCAAGCAGGCAGATACCCATCTCAATCTCTTGATCAGTTCTTTTTCAGAGTTCCCTGTCATGCCTTCCTGGCATGGCTACACCTCTTCCCAATGGAAAAGTTCCATGTTTCGATTTAAATATGTAACTTAAACATGATTCCATCTCAGACGCTGCGTTGTCAGGCAGCTTCGCAAACCTTCAGTCCTGTATGAAAGCCACACCTTATGCTACCCCCACTAACCACCCACCCACCCTACCCGCGACTTTTACATCTGCTTAGCCGTTCATGGTCGTTCGTTCCTGGCGATCAATATGCCTTTAAAGAGACGGCGATCTTGAAGAACTTATTAACATCCACTGTATGACTTCTTAACGCCTGCAGCCATTAGTTATTGGTCAGATTAATTAATTAGCATCCCCCTTTTCCCCCCCCCCCCCCCCCACTCCAGTGTTGTAAGGACTCTGTTTCTCTCTCTGTGCACCAGCTGCTCTCACATCAGTGTTTATGTTCTCCTCCATCGGGGTGTCTGTCCTGGGGCAGACAGAGTGTGCATCACCCAGGGCGTGAGATCCTGAGAGTCCTCTGTCTGGGAGGCACCTCTACAAACCCCACCTGGAATTGCCCCCCTTAAACGGTGAGAGGAGATAATCACCGTCGCTTATTGATTATCACTTCTGGTCTGTTATAAAGCAGCAGTTCACAGTGGGGAGAGTCAGACTGCGGACACCCCCCACCTGCCCCCCCCCGGCAGCTCTTTAAATACCAGCTCAGGTCTCTCCTTCGTCTCCTGAACCAAATAGGATGGTCAGCCGCAGACGTTTGGTCTTTCTTTTCATGTTTTTCTTTTCTTCTTACGCAGAGTGAATCTGTTTTATTTGCCCCCACCCATGTCACCATCTTGCGTAAAGCCCCCACTGCCCCTACTGGCGCATCTCACATGACCCGGCGCATGGATGGGCGTCGGCGTCCGTGGGACCGTCCGCTTGATCTGTGGGTGGGTCTGTGTGTCCTCATGGCCCTGCTCAGGCGTGAATCCAGCAGGATGTGGAGCCAAGGAGAACGGCGGCTGGATCGAGCCCAGCTTCGGCCGTCGGGAATGGACCGTAGATTAAAGGCATTTAATGGTTAATTAGGGCAGAGAAAAAGGCTAGGCAGTTGAGGATCACACACTAGCTGGCCAATTCTGTACTCTTTGTATCTGTTTGTGTGTGTGTGTGTACAGTCACACACTGTTCAATTAACTGCTGTCCTAACTGTGTGTAAGTCATTAGGGAAAAGAAAGTCAACTCTGAACAGAGCTGATTATTTGTGTGCGTGACAGACACTGAAAGTGAAAGTACAGGACACTGTGTGTGTGTGTGTGTCTGTATATGTTTGTGTGTGTGTGTGTGTGTCTGTATGTGTGTGTGTGTGTCTGTATGTGTGTGTGTGTGTCTGTATGTGTGTGTGTGTGTGTCTGTGTGTGTGTGTGTGTCTGTATATGTTTGTGTGTGTGTGTGTGTGTGTGTGTGTGTGTGCATGCACGTAAGTGAAAGCATATTCCCCAGTTTGTGTGTCTCTGCTGCATGTGAGGGTGGGAACTGGAGAACGGGGCAGTGAAGGCCGCAGTACCACTGGTGGCCAGAAGGGGGAGACATTTCCCATCCAGCTTGAAGGCGCCGCAGCCTTCTGGTCTGCGTCTGGCTCCCTCTCGGGTAGGGGAGGTGGGGAAGCACAGATGTCCCTCCCCCCCGGCCGGGAAGGGGACGGGCTAAGGCAGCACCGAGGACGAGCTCAAAGCGCGGAGGCAGTGAGCGGAGCAGACGGCTGCGAAGAGGCTGAGAGCGGCTCTGTCGGCAGGACTGGAGGAAGAGGCACACGCGCTCGCTCACGCACACGTACGCTCACGCACAGTCCCATCGAGGAGGAGCCCGAGGCAGGAAGCGCAGGCACCTTGGGACGGCCGGGATAGCGCCCTCTCTCTGTACTGCTCGTCGCTGCTCTCTGCTTGGAGTTTCCATTGTGTTTTTGCTGCAGTCACTCCATTCTTTTTTCGGCTTCTCGTTTTTGTTCGGAGGGACAGGCGCCTCTCAGCAACTCGGCTCCCCGACCCCGGGGCGGCAGGCACAGCGAGCGAGGGAGCGGCGGGGGAGAGAGAGAGAGAGAGCGCACTCAGGACATCTGTCAGGGAGAGCACACGAGCGGGTAGAGTGAGAGAGAGAGGGGGGGAGACAGCGGAGGTGTGGCATGAGCAAGGAGAGTCAGCCGGCTCTGTAGCAGACCAAGCGATACAACGCCTCCCCCCTTGCTCCCACGCCCCCCCAGCTTGACCACCCTCCTCCTCTCCTCTCTCCTTTCCTTCTTTCCTCTCCTCTCCTCTCCATCATCGCCGCCTGCCCGGCTCCTCCTCAGCGCCGCCCTAGTGCTCGCCGGCAGGCCGCAGGGGAGAGGACGATTTCGGCCGACTTCGGCCCCCAGGGCGTCCTGCCGACCCCGTACCTCTGCCACCCTCTTCTGCCCGCTGTTCCTGCCCTGGACACAGAGGGCGCCAGGCGGGCCAGCCTCTCTGCAGTTAGCAAGAATCCTGGTACAGCAAGACGGATTCCAGCTACATGGGCAAACGCCTGGAGCAACTGCCAATGTACCCCCAGTACACCTACTACTACCCTCAGTATCTCCAGACCAAGGTATGCGCCCCCCACCCCCCCACTCAGCCGCACGGGTCGGCTCACGTGGTGGCGCTGGAGTGTGGTTCCGGTCCGGTTGCGTTTCTTTCACCTGGGGGCCTTGGGAAGTGTCTGTTGGACTGGGCATCGTGTGATCAGGAAGCTGAAGGTTGATTGGCCACTGTGGCTCTCAGTGGGCACCCAGGCAGGGGCCTTGGGGAAAGAGGGGGGGGTCGCTCTGATTTTTATGGTGCGTGAAACGAAAAACTGTTGGTTCCGTGTGTGGCTGTGTGAGCAAGCATGTCACTGCACACGTGTGTGTTTGTGACTGTATGGGTGATACTGCATGCCGCCGTTTTTGTGATTATTACATTGTAGGGACCAGATTTCCATACAATATGATAAAAACCTACAACTTTTCATTTTTTTATTTTTTTCAGCCCAATTTTATAGAAATCTGTGACTGCAATCAAAAAACTAAAAATTCCAAAGGACGAGTATTTTGTTTGGTTACTAGTTAATGTTAGACCTGGGTGGGGGTTAAGGGTTATGGTTAGACCTGGGTGGGGGTTAAGGTTGTCATTGTTGGGATTAGGGTTTTGTCCATAGAAATGAATGAGCGGTCCCCAAAAAGATACGAGTGCAAGTGTGTGTGTGTGTGCGTGATACTATATACCGGCACGTGTCATACTGTGTGTGTGTGTGTGTGTGTGTGTGATACTATATACCGGCACGTGTGTCATACTGTGTGTGTGTGTGTGTGTGTGTGTGATACTATATACCGGCACGTGTCATACTGTGTGTGTGTGTGTGTGTGTGTGTGTGTGTGTGATACTATATACCGGCACGTGTCATACTGTGTGTGTGTGTGTGTGTGTGTGTGATACTATATACCGGCACGTGTCTCATACTGTGTGTGTGTGTGTGTGTGTGTGTGTGATTCTATATACCGGCACGT